TACCACGAGGATTAAATAAGAAAAATATTAAAAATAGTAAAGGATAGAACAAAGGAATGTAAGATGATTTATAAGAAAAAGGTAAGACATCTTTCATAACTTAGAGGAAAGAATCAATCCAGCAACATTTCAAATTTTTAGTTGTAAATTTCTTTTATTAGGTAGTATGGTACTATTCGAAGGTATACTGTGATAAATAAAACACTTATTATAAAATTGAATGCAACATTAAAAATCCAGAAAAAATAGCTAATGCACAAGAGGATATAATGCAACAAATATTCAACTAAAAGAATGAATAAAAAATGAGAAAAGCCAGCTGCAAAAACAAAACAGCAAAGTACATGATAAATGTAAAAATAAAATAATAGGTGTGCAAGATGGAAATTGTCTAAACATCCCAATTAGAAGCCATAATATCACAGACTCAGATGTGGGGAGGGAGACCCAGGTCTGTGTTTCCAACAAAACTACTTGAAATACTAAGATAACAACAGGGAGAAAATGAATTAACAGATAAGTGCATGTAAATCTTAATCTCTTCTTCCAAATAACATAAAGCAAAATGAAGATTCTTATCAGGTTGTACTGACATTAAAATTAACATCAAAAGCAAGGGCTATTATGAAAATATAGTCACTGCTTAACAATAAGTCTCAGTTCACAAGATGTAAAAATTATCAAAGTTTATGCCCTTAATTCAACCTCAAGAAACACAAATTGGAAACTGAAGTAATGGAAACAGACAAATCCACAATTAAATTTAATATCAATATTATGTTCATACTCATTCATAAAACACGTAGCTACAAGTATCAGTAAAGATGCACAAAACATTATCAATCATTTGATTTGAAATTTAGAGAGACCACTTCAAGCAGAAAAAGCAGAAAATACATTCAGTTTAAGTTTTACATGAAATATTTATCAAGTAATAAAATACTCTGAAATCTAAAAATATTCCAATAAATACAGAGGTCTTACAGATTACATATGACCCTGCAATTATGGTCCTGAGAATTTATTCCAATGAAGTTAGATCTGCATATAATGGAGTTATTTGTGCACCTATGATTTTATATTAAGATTTATTTTTATTGGAAAGCCAGATTACAGAGAAGGAAGGAAAAACAGAGAGAAAGATCTTCTGATCGCCAGAGCTGATCTGATCTGCAGCTAGGAGCCAGGAACTTCCTTGATTTCCCCCATGTGGGTGCAGGGTCTCAAGGCTTTAGGCCGTCACGGATTGCAGCATATGAACTGGCACCCATGTGGGATGCTGGGCATTCATGGCAAGAACCTTTGCACTAGGCCCTACACTGGGTCCTACCCCTATACTTCTGAAGTTAATTGAGGGTATTTTATTGTAAAAGCTTTAAAAAAGAAAATACATATGGAAGAGTTTTGTTCAGGAATAATCTCAGAATAGAAGGTAGGGGGTGAAGCATCACGACATTCCTAAATCTGTGTTGTAAAATAAATAACATTTGTTCACCTATATAAATACACAAATATTAAAACTTCTGAACATAAAGACATTATACCTAGGAATCAATAACACAAATATATTGAGAAATCCAAAAATATTTAAAACTAAATCACATATTTCTGAACAGCTCATGTACGGAATATCAAAAAGAAAATTGGAAAAAAATTAACTACATTGAAAAATGTTAAATGTATTAAAATTGTGGATATAGCTGAAAGAGTACTTAAAAGGAACTGTATAATATTAAATTTACGCCAGAAAGGAAGGCTATTAAGTAAGTGATGTGAACAGTAATTATGATTATATTATCACTGTATTTTCAGCTTTAGGTAACCTATCTGCCATGATGACTGTGGAGTAGAGTAGAGGTACTCTATCTTATTTGTTTCCTTGAATATAAACAAGATATTATTATACTGGTATGTATAACTCTAAAGCCATGTCTGTTTAATGAATGACTAAAGAACTCTCTAACATTTGCAAACCTGAAAGTCAAACTAAACCACAACAGTATTTACAACATTATTACATTATATTGCAAGTTCAGGTAGAACTGTGTTACGAAGTTTGTATGAATTCCTGAGCCTTATTTTACCTGCACATAAACTTTAGATATGTATAAGTCATAAAGAAGTATAAGTATAAATTAAAATGTCTGGAGGTGAATGTTTAGATTTCATGTACTTAATTTTTTCATAAATTTATTTTTATTGTGTGAAACGTACATTATAATTGAGTCTTTAAGAAGCAGCTTAATTCACAATAGGTAAGATACAGAATCCACCCAGGAGACCACTAACGGATGAATGGGTAAAGAAAACGTGGTACAAAATAGTATAGAATATTATTCAGCCGTAAAAAAAAATGAATACCTGTTTTCATAACACACCGACACAATTGGAAATTACTATGCTTACTAAAATAAGCCAACTCCAAAAATACAAATACCGTATGTTTCCCCTGTACAATACAAAAAACAAAAAAAACAGTATATATTAGATGAGTGAAATCAGCGTTTTGAGTTTTGATAACTATTTACAGTCTGTGCGCAGCCAGGGACTCTGGGCCGGCAGGGGTAGGGAGGCGTGGAAGACTCCTGGATTTTGATTGGCTCAGCTCTGGCCTTTGTGGCCACTTAGGGATGGACCAGAGTGGACCACCGAGGATCTTTCTCTGTCTCTCCTCTCTGTAGATCTGCCTTTCCAATGAAGTAAAAAATCTAAAACAAAACAAAACACAAAAACAAGGGAGAATGAGTAAGCAAACAAAGCCAGAAGCTAGGGGAGGCAGGAGCCAAGCTCAAGCAATCTGATATGGGATGTGGCTTAGTTGCTATGTCAAATACCACCCTTCAAGGATATTCTTAAAAAAAAAGTACAAATATGATATAAAAGCCAGATAGTTGCTACCATTTGAGGAGTGAATCCGTGGGTTGAAAAAATTCTCTCTCCCATCTTGACCCCATAATGTCTAATAGTCCTGGAGGCTGCAGTCATTTGGGGAGAGATTTGCTGAATGGAAGATATCCTGTCTCTTGTTTTCAATTAAATAAACAAATGTTTAGAAAAAAAGGAAATAAAACCTCATAATGGTAGCTAGGTTAATTACCAATTTCACAGTTGCTGTCACCAAATCAGCAAGTCACTGTTTATATACCTTTTCTTATTGTTCAAAAGAAAGTGAAAGCCGCATGGCTCCAACTGAATGGACTAATTTTTTCTCAATATGTAATTCTTATAATCTAGGCGTTACTTCACTTTCCAATTGAGAGCATGAACAAATGTTTTAAAATTGCAGTTTTTCTTGTCCATTGGTATTTCAAATTACTGTGTGAGAGCTTTTAACAAGAGATAAGGCTGCAAGTCTCTTGCAGTAATTCAAGTAGAATATAAAGAAATTAAACCATAAACATGTACTACATGTTCTATGGAATGGATTTATAAAACACAGTTTAATAGTAGAAATAACTTAAAATTCTGGACCATCTAATAGTCTCTAATTTAACTTGTATCAACTGGAGCTGAAGTGTGCAATATGAGAAGTTAACTATTTCAATTTATTTTTTACAACTTTCCAATGTTCTTTAGGAATATCATCGTAGAGAAACCACTATGACATTTGCAGCAGCAACTCCAATTCTGGAAGGTGGATACTGCACTAGTCTAAGGCCACAAAATTAGAAACTGTACAGTACCAATAATTTTAGCACACAAAAAGGAAAAAGAGTTTGTAAATTTCCATCTTTTTTTATAAATGGATAATAGTGTTGTATTTATTTGATATATATATATTGAATATTTGAAAACTAAAACTTCAAATTCCACACTGGATTTCAGGTCATACTCAAAACACAAGATCATTATAAGTACTGTATATTATATTATTTAATCCATGCTACGTCTATGATGCAGCCATAACATAAAAATTAGCATCATGTGCAAATCTGGGCCCTACTACAAATGTAGTACTTCCTTATGGATATGTAAATATCATGAAATTATAAAGAAGTCCAAAATCTGAAACTCTTCTGTCCACACCTATTTTGGTCAATAAATGTACAATCTACATGCAGATATAAAAAAAGAAGATGAAGAGCATCCATAATTTAAAGAAAAAAAGTAGAAATACACTGATCACTGTAAAAGAAATCTTGTGCATTTGTATATTTTATTATATTCAATGTGACATTTACAGTATAAGAAGATAGGTCCTCATGTATTATAGTAATTTTAATGGCACCGAAATTTCTGTTTAAATAAAATTAAACTTTTTTCCATTTAAGCTAATTTAGAAATCTACTTTGTCACTGTTTTCAATTCTATCTAACACTAAGGAAAATGCATAATAAGAACAGAATGCTTAGCAGTATAGACTAACCAATCTATCTTTCAAATGAAGCATGTAAAGACCACATTTCATATGAAAAAACATAAATTGATGTAGGTATCAAAAGCAACTACTAGGAAAACAATTATGTTTCAGGAAAGTGGTTTTTCTGCGACTTGCCATGACAAACAGCACTTGTTGCTCCATATGTGAAGCAAGCAGTCAGGGTTTTGCCTATTTTCCTTTGTTCAGCACAGAGAACAGAGCAAACAAATGTTCTTTCCTTGTCTGTATGGATTCTTTATGGCTACTGAATCATTTAAAACAATGCTTTTTTTTAAAAAAAAAAAAGATTTATTTATTTTTATTGCAAAGTTAGATATACAGAAGAAGAGAGATAGAAAGATCTTCCATCCAATGATTCACTCCCCGGTACTGTGCCGGTGCTGCGCTGATCCAAAGCCTGGAGCCAGAAGCTCTTCCGGGTCTCCCATGTGGGTGCAGGGTCCCAAGGCTTTGGACAGTCCTGGATTGCTTTCCCAGGCCACAAGAAAGGAGCTGGATGGGAAGCCGGGCTGCTGGGGTTAGAACCGGCGACCATATGGGATCCGGGTACACTCAAGGCAAGGACCCTAGCCACCGCTCTGGGCCCAACAATGCCATTTCTTTCCAAACTCACTGGAAAGAAAATATTTTGATTATTTGGTAAAGAAGGAGTTGTAGATGGGAACTCTTACATAAAATCTACAAATAGCTTAATCTGACTCTAAAACAACCGTAAAAACAATGAAACTTACAAAACTGAATTCATGTCACAAATTGAGTTCACAACTACTTGAATATATTATTATATTTAGAAGATCTCAGTACTGACATACATGTAAATAAAACCTGCTGCTAGACAGAAAACAACCAAGTCCTCCTGTTTCCTTTAAGAGTAAATTCAAGATGATATTAAACTGTGGGCATTCTGATCTATACACTCAGCACTCTGATGTCCCGCATGTCTCGTAGCAGCACTGGCCGGTAGTTTTGTTCCAAAATTTCCATGTATTCAAAATAATCACTCACTCGAAAACCATGCAGTGCTTCTTCCTGACAGGACAGAAAAGAAAGTTCACTCACATGGGCAAAGGCACACGATTCCAAGTTAGTCATTTTCAAAAATGATTTCTTTATTTACTTGAAAGGGAGAGAGAGGGAGACAGAGAGATCTTCCACCTGCTGCTTCAATTCACAAAAGGTTACCATGATAGAGTCAGAACCTCCTTTTGCGTTGGTCTTTTATATGCTGGCATGAGTGGCATGGCAGGTGGCAGTTTTTTGCACTCTGTCACAATGCATAATGAATTTGATATAGTTGATGTGCCACTTATTTTCAGCTACAAACCAGGGGTAAGGGACAGAGGAAAAGCTAATGTTGCTATTCAATGTGTAATTGTTTTTTATTTAGGGGTCTGTTTATGTGTATAACAGGAAGGAACCATGTTCCCATGAAATAGGTTGTCTCTTGTCAAAACAAAAAACTTTATGGCTAATAAAAATTAATCTTTAGGCAATAATAACCAAATCTTACTGATGTTTATATATAGTAGTTTTAAGTATGAAATCACTGTTCAAATTTATAATGCTAGTATCATGTAGATCTTTAAGAAATATTTATTTTTATTTGAATGGCAAAGGAAAAGATATCAACTTTTAAAAACTTTTTAAAATTTTTATTGGAAAGGCATATTCACAGACAGAAGGGGAAACAGAGAGAAAGATCTTCCGTTTGCTGATTCATTCCCCAAAAAGCCTCAATAGCTGGAGCGAAGCTGACACCAAGCCAGGGTGCAGGGGCCCAGTGCTTTTTTTGATGTCTTCAACTGCTTTTCTAAGCCACAAGCAGGAGGCTAGATGGGAAGTGGAGCAGCCAGGACATGAATCAGCATCCACATGGGATCCCAGCACATTCAAGTTGAGGAATTCAGCCACTAGGATACCGCGCTGGTGTGAGAGATCAATCTTGCAACCACTAGTCCACTCCTCAAATGGCTACAAATCCTAAATATTTTGTAATGACCTTCTCAGTGGATAACTAATTCTTTCTATTATAACCATTTAGTGTACCAGCTTAACATTCATGTTATTACACACCACTGTTGAGAATACTGTTTTATAATCATTTAAGTTATAGAAGTGAGTACATTGGACTTGCTATAAAATATGAATGCCCCTATTCTTTAACTAGGCATAATAACGCAGTGCAATTTTACGTCAACAGTAGCAGAACTGCCATCTAAACACAGGAACAAAATAGAGACCCTGGCAGTTTTTGATAGAGGTTGTATGGCCACACATTGAAAAGAGGATAACATTTTCAATAAGTGGAGCTCAAAAATTAAATTGCAAAAGAATGGAACTAAACTTCTACTTCTTCTGGTCCAAAATCAATTCAAAATGGGTGAATATCCTTAATGTAGACCTGAAACTTTGAAAATATTAGAATAAGACTGGAAAAAGAGTTCATGACATTGGAATGAGGAAGGATTAGACTTCGTCAAAAAGAGCTGTATAGCAAAGGAAACAATGAGCAATTCATTTGCTGCTTTTCCAGGCACATATCAGTGTTAGTTGTAATCACAAGTGCAGGAGCCAGGACTTGAACTAGGCACTCCAATTTAGGACAAATTTGGGCAATGGATGTAAATCCTCTTGCTAACTTCCTGCATATAATAAGCACTCATGCATTAGTGGTGGTCATAATAATAAAAACAGATTATTAATGAATATTTTTTAAAACGGCTAGGTACATTTTTAGCATATTACATAGAACATTAAGCATAAATAGTATATTATTGACTCTCACCTTTGCTCCATCTTTTTTACCCATATGCAATAGAAGGAGAAAATGCAATAAATATATCAAGATACGAAAGACTTTTCTTGAAAGTTTTCAGGAAAGTGCCTATTAAGGAAAGCTAGTTATATCTACATATTCAAAAGCTCATTATATCAAGTGGAATTTTAAGAAATGTTGCATGTATTAATTTCTGGTATAAATTCTCATTGACTGCCAATCCTGTAACCTTAACATTTAAATAGAAGATAAGAACCTTTAAAAGATACAAGGTACATGGGCCCGGCGCGGTGGCGCAAGTGGTTAAGTCCTCGCTTTGCACGCCCGGGATCCCATATGGGCGCCGGTTCTAATCCCGGCAGCCCCGCTTCCCTTCCAGCTCCCTGCCTGTGGCCTGGGAAGGCAGTCGAGGACGGCCCAAAGCTTTGGGACCCTGCACCCGCGTGGGAGACCCGGAAGAGGCTCCTGGCTTCGGATCGGCATAGTATCGGCCAGTTGCGGCTCACTTGGGGAGTGAATCATCGGACGGAAGATCTTCCTCTCTGTCTCTCCTCTCTGTATATCCGCCTTTCCAATAAAAAATAATAAAAATAAATCTTTAAAAAAAAAAGATACAAGGTACAGACAGATCAAGTGCTTCAAAACAGCACTCATTGGCTGTGTGACTTTGGGAATAAGTTTAGCTCTTTTACAACATCAGGTATTTTCTTTCCAAAATATTTGATTACTAATGTCTTTTCAAGGTGATGAATTTTTATTGTAATAGCTCTTTACAACAATACTATATGGATAAAGAAGGACTAATAGAAGTCACTTTCAGTTAAATTGGAAGAGTTTATATTTATTAATAACTACTAAGAGGCTTATAAAATAAAAATTTATAACAAAAGGCATGCAACTTAACGTACACTTAAAGAAAGGTTATAGTAATGTCAAACCTCACATGGGAAATATTTGAAAGAAGAGTGTTTTATGAACCTAGTTCTGCTCTTTATCCTAGTTAGTGATGACCTTTTTAAGTGTTTTGTCCAACCTATCACATAAAATGAGGTTCTTCTTGGCTAAAGTGGTAGAAACACAATCTGCAAGCAATTTTACTTCCAGTGTGTACCTCCCGGAGTTCATAGTAAAATTATAAATTCTTGGACTAAATATCTGCAAAATGTTTAATTTCCTGGCATTACCATTTTTGATTCTTCTACACAAAGGTCCCAAAGTTGTACTGCTATACTTTTAAAAGGTTTCAAACTATTTGAGATTTTACACTAAAATTTCAACCATCCAAAAGTTTTCCATATAAATTTAAATTTGCTAAATTTGATAAGGAAACTAGATTATAATTTTTAATAAAAATCCTAAGTATGCTTCAGTATCCAAAAAGTCTAATAATAATATAGTGGTTTAGAATAGGATTTAAGGTTTTGAAGATTTGCATAGAGAATAGGTGTTTTTAGGATTTAAACCTAGATGACGTGAACTTGGACAGGTGGGATTATTTCAGTTTTGCCTTGATTAATTAGGAATGGGTTCTGATCACCGAGGGTCAACAGAATGCTTTTTATCAAGGTGAGAAGGGTCATGTCAGTTCCATGCATTGCGATGATGTTATAGACAATTAGGTCTCAGGGACACAGGAAAACAAGGCAAGGCAGGTGAAAAATGTAGCTATGGACTTAGAAAACCCTGTCTATTCTGCTGTACTGTTTACACGCTTTCTTAACAAAAGAAAATAAAAAGCAGTAACAGAAGAGAGGTAAAATAGGGATACAAAAACTAAATAAAGGTCAGTTATTTTAATCTTGCTATGTGCCAGATAGCATTTTGAAAGTATTATATCATCTTATTTAATCCTCTCACAACCCCATGTGATATTTCTTATTTACCTCCAATTATACAGAGGAGGAAACTGAAGGACAAAGAGTTTTAGCAATGTGCCCAAGATTATATAATGAATGATTAAAATAAAATTTGAATCCATGTAGACTCAACTGATAGAGGGCAATACAGAATATATATTTGCAAAGTATGTTACACTGAATATTTTATTAATTCCTCAGAGGATGACTTATTTTTAATACTATGTACACTTCTGTCTTTTAAAGCTGCATATGTAACTATTTTTTTCAGTCTGATCTCCATTTCTCACTCTTTCAATATCTTCTGTTAATAGCTGTTTCAACAGTACTAGTAAGAAATTCCTCTTGCCAATTTATTGATTGGGCTGAAATTATCATATTTTTCATCATTATAAACTGATTTCACCATAATAATCAGGATTTGCTGAAATATTTTAAGCAATCTATTTTAAGAATTCACCACCTGACCTTCCCTGGAAAGTGATCTCCTGACCAAGAATTTCAGTGAAGTCTGCCCCTGCTGAACTTACAAATTAAAGCCAAAATTGTGACAATATAAGACCTTCAACAAAATTTCTTGAAGGACTACCCACTGTAACATTAGAGGGGAAATGAACAGGTTGGGGGAGGGAACTTGGCGGGGGGGGCAGGAAATCCCAGAGAGTACAGAACTGTCATAAACAAACAAACAAACAAACAAACAAACCTCATGATGGGGGACAAATACAGCAGATATTTTTAGAAAGAACAAACCTCTACACTAAAACAATAAATTCACTTTTATGGATGAAATAATATGTAGATGACATACATGAAGATGATATACATATATAAAACATACACATTATATAAAACACTCATTTCAGTCTCACTGTAGGTGTACAAGCTTCAGAAACACAGTGTAACTCTGCTTCCAGTTTATCATCTCTAAAACGGGATGTTAACAATGCCTCTCTTTTGGATTAGATGTGTTATCTAGAAAATGATCTCGTATTTAACCACCCCAAATTAGGTATTAATTACAATCTGAATATTTCCATAGATAGAAACACACTTACTTTTAGGAAAACTTGCAAATCTTGAGTCTGAGTATGCTGTAGAATGTCTTGTTGTAAATGTTTGAATATAGCTATACAGATATACACTTGATAATCAGGACCAAGAATAACACATGTAGTAATATAATGGCAGATTTCTATCCAATCTAAATAATTCCAAAAGCACTGACTTATCCATTGCAGACAAATCTAAAAAAAGAAAGAAAAGAATTACACTACTGCATTTGATACATATGACTTAAAAATTTAGTAGCCAATGACATACAAAGTCAATGAAAAGGTTACATTTAATTAAAAGATACTGTGCATAGAAATCTAATACACATACTTATCTTTTTGTGTGTATTAATGTTTGAAAAAATTTTGATGGCCACTGGATAGAGAACTTAAGAGTAACTGACCATGTGCCAATACACATATTATCTATTTCTGAAATCCATAATTTTTCATATTGTCTTGCTCTTACCAAAACTCCAGTCTGTTCTGCACAGACAACTGGTAAGAAACTATTTTAATTCAGACAGAACTTTTTCTTATCCTACCTATAATCACAGATGTATAATTATGCAGATGAGAGATTGCTAAATGCTACATTAATGCAAATGGACTCTTGCTGAATCATAAAATAACTTAAACCAAACAGAATTATGTAACATAAAAACTTGAAGCTAATGTAGAGAATAATTCAGAAAAGACTTCTAAGATGGAGCTTGTTTTTCCTCTTTGCTTAACTTATTTTTAATAATATTTAATTGTATTATAAAAGCAATGCATGTTCATGGTGGGAAACATAGAATAAATTTAAGGAAAAAGCCTAACAATGACGCAGAGATTATGAACTTTGCTAATGTTTAGACATACTAATATCATGGGTTAAATTAGAGCCCACCTTCCTGGATCACCTTTCCTGGCCCCAATAACTATGTTGAATCCTAACATACAGCAACTCAGAACATGACCTTAATTGGGAATGCCATGTTTACAACGGTAATCGATTTAGAATGATGTCACAGAATGTGCCCTAAAACAGCAATTTTTACGTATGTTTAAGGAGAAAAAGGAACAGAGGCAGACATGCAGAACTCCATGTGGAAGGTGAAATAATGGAGTGAGACATCTACAAATTAAGGAACAACTAACACTATTTTGGGGTCACAAAGGGGGAGTCACGAAGGAGTTTAGTGAACCTGGCATTGTCACCAATTTGATTTTGGATTTACAGTCTCCAGAAGAGTGAGAAAACAATTTTGTGTTGTTTCTAGCTATCTAATTCATGGTATTTTGCTATTTTGATCACAGGGAACTAATATACTGACATTAATTTTCAATTTATTATCTTTAAATTACCTTTCAGAAAATATTTTTTTTATTAAAAGTATCTTGCCTCTCCTATAATTTTGGGTGTGTGTGTGAAGGAAAGGAAATGGGTATGGTAGCTTACTTCAATTTGTCCTAGGTATAGAAGACAGAGGTTCACAAATTTTCCTGTCTTGTTCTATGTATATATTTTTAGGAATATTAAATAGGCGATGCAAGTTGTTTCTTATCCCCTGATTCAACTTTTTGGCATGGTGATTTGGAGTTTGCTGTAGGAAAGAACCACAAACTATGTAGGTTCAGCAACAAAAATACATTTCGTCACCATTCTAGAGATGTTTAAGATCCAGATAGATGTTGGGGGATTTCTGAATGCCCAACTTCTCCTTCTTCACATGCATCTTGCTCTGGGCAGCTCAGTATCTCTGTGCTCTAATTCACTATTCTTATGCAGTTATTTGGATTAGGGTTCAGCCTGATGACTTCTTTCTAATTTCATTATAACCTTGAAGCCCTACACAATCATAATCTGATACACTAGGAATTTAGGACTTCAAATGTCAATTCAGGGTATTACTAAAAGATTTATTTTTTACATGTTAGTCATATCAACTATTATTACCCCTTTCATTTAATACTTTACGGTGGGCTAGTGTTGTGCTATAACCAGTTACAATTTGCCATCTGTTATGTCAGTATTGCATGTGGGTATCAGTTTGTTTCCAACTGCTTCAGTTCCAATCCAGCTCCCTGTTAATGTGTCTGGGAAATCAGAAGAAGATGGCTTAAATTCTTGCGTCTCTTTTCCCATCTGGAAGGCATGGAAGAAGCTCCAGGCTCCTGGCTTTGGCCTGGCCCAGCCCAGCCCCAGCCTTTACAGCCCTTTGGTAAGTGAATCAGTAGATGAAGTCTTTTTCTATCTGCTCTGCTCTTTGTATTATTTGTCTTTCAAATACATTTTGAAAATTTTTAAACAAAGACACTATGAACATTTTTTCCCTCTCATCTTCTGGTCCTACTTCCTCATATTTAGTTGCTTGTATTATGTAAAATGTTTATGTGGTTTTAAATTGAAAGTAATAAGCTATATTGCCCAAACCTCCAACTTAATCATTTCTCATTAGCAATTATTTAAAAGCTACAGCATTTTCTTTTATGCCTTTAATATGAGCATACCTATGAATATATGTTTATATTTGTATTCCCAATTTATATAAATGGTAACCTACTGAACACATCCTTTCCACTGCTTCTCATTACACAAATCATTCTGTGTAACACGCTAAGTCTACAGACAGAAGTATTTCTCACTCCTTTTCACAAAGGCACAGTACTTTATGGTGGATAAGCTGCATTTTTTTTTAAAGCAAGTCCCACCTGTAGACATTTGTAAAAGTGTAAAAAATATATAAAACCAAAATATTTTCAAATTTTCCTTAGTGCATCTTTGGGATACATTTCTAGGAGTGAAATTCCTGGGTTGCAGGGTAAATACAGATGTAATTTTGGCAGAAATTGGCAAATTTTTCTTATAAATACGAAGAGACTGCAAAACATGGATAAAGAGAGGGTTAAAATTTCAAGCAAAACATTAACTCCTTAAACTATTTTGTGGAAGAAATGCTTCAGAATCTTGATCTGATTTACTTAAGGCTTCCAACGAGAACTCCACTCTCGCCTCCAACTGATCTGGATGTAACAGTTTGGGCACATATTGGGCAGGAAATCTGATCCACTTTCATTTTTCAGTCATAATTGTATGCATTTAACCTGCTGCGGTTTCATGGTGTTGGTTATTACACTTGCTTTTAATTGTTAGTCTTCTTCAATCAGGGTATGAACAAGTTTGGATTTTTACTCATAAATTGATGTGGGTGACGATGTTCTACCACCATGGACTTCATCTCATGGTCCTGTCCTCTTCTTGCAAACTGCTATTTCCGAGATGCTGTCAAGGCACCTCTGAGTTCACCACTTCCCTTCATTAGGCTTCCTTTCCCATAAAGATGACATTAGTGTTTGCTTCAACTTTAGCAGAATTTGTATTTCTCTCTCCAACAGGGCTTCTTTTAAGTTGGCACAGCTTATTAGCGTCTCAAACTAGATCCCATTCTGACATGTAATAAAAAGTTAATTTAAGTTTGTTTTGGTACAAATATGTATATATGTAGTTTTTTGGAAATCTGTATGTAGTTTTTCCTCCTAATACACATTCTCTAGGAAATTTTTGTAGAGCTCTTGTAGCCCCAAAAACAGATTATCGCATTTGTAAGTCAAAAGCACTGAGTGCTTACAATCAGTTAAAAAAAAAAAAATTACCAATAGCTAATGATACTGGATACAAAGTAAAATGCTAAATGTTTTTATGGCAGACCAGAACACCATACTTTGTGTAGTGTACAACTGCACTTTAACAGATTTAATTAGATTATAAAAAAGAAAATTACTTGCACAACAGGCATCAAAAGTTTATGCTAAAAGACAGTAAAGCATAACATTGAGACGTGAACAATTATATACAGTAAAATATTCTTATTATTATTCATAGTTAACTGACCTTTAAAGAATTACAAAAGCATTTGAAGTAAAAAAAAAAAAGATTAGCACAATTACTTGTGGATACTCAGTTAAGCCAAAATAAGTGAAATAAGTGTGAATTGTACATGATTGCTTTATGATTCAGAGACAATATTTAAAACAATTGTTTGACTGTATTGTATGTGTTTTCATCACTGAAAGAGTGAAGTAAAAACAAAAACACATTTCAGAATCAAAGTTGTTTTACATGAAGTCCTTATTATCCAAGGGATTTCAGTAAGTCAACCCAACTCTCTGATGTGTCTATGTCATACAATACAGGCTAAGAGATCCATAACGTTTTTAAATAGTATGATCGCAGCAAAGATGCTGTATTTCTGTGCCACTTCTAGGAAGACAGTATGTCACACACTCCAAGGTCTGAGAAGTGAGACAAATATGCATAGGCATTTCTCAGGGTATTTCTGCTCAAGGGGAAGTACTTCAGCAGGGTCAAAGCAGAATCGACTCCTAGTAGGAGATCCAGAAAGTTTTTCTTTGAGCAGACATTACGACATAAATACCTGACAAATAAAGACACTTCACAAGGAAGAAAAGGGTTCATTGTAAGTGGTGACAGCAGTACCAGAGAGGAAAATCCTGGGACTAGATTTAATGAATCTGACTCCAAAAAAGAAGCACCGTGAGCCTTAGCATCTTAATATTCATGCACATAATCTATTTTTTTCAAAAAGCACTGTGTCAGAAAACACACAAGGGTGCAATCGTTTTCTATAATCTTGCATTTGTAATGGCAAAAACCAGACAGGTTTTCTACATTTTATTGAAAGGATCATCTTGTTGGGCTACTTGCTTACACGGTGTTTTGCAATATCAATGATATGTGTTATGCGGACTCTAAGGAATTACTGAAGATGTATCATTAAAGACAGGTGGCACTGCTTTACTCAAGTAAGGAAACAAAATAGACCAAGGAAAATTTCTTAACAAAGGATAAGGTTAGACAAAAAGTTAATAAGATTATGCGATGTGGTTTTTCCATTACTAGTTTTAAAAGAAAGAATAACATTTAGACTTCAGTCTTCATTCCCATCTGAATTACTTTTAAAAAGCAATTCTACTCAGCAAATTTACATTTTTTACTGTTGAGCTTATTATTCATAAGCTGAATTTATTATTTTTACTCTAGTGATCTGAATATTTCATTTAGCAGCCTGGCAACAAATACTGCACTAATCATCCAATCCATAAATACCTAAAAATAAATAACTTTAAAAAGCAAAATTCTTAATTAGATGAAAATGAATAAGCTTTGGAACACAACATTGAATCAAATAATCACTTGGCCATATATGCCCATTTACTTAAATTTTGTTTTTGTATTTTATAATTAGCAATGAAATGGCATATAACATCAATAAAGCACATATGTTCTTAAGGCAAAAAAAAAAATGATTAGCTCCCCTAGTGAGTTACAAAAAAGTTATTTTTGTAGTTATTTGAGGCTCTGAATAAAGATTTAACTATAAACAGAGAGCAAGCTTTAAGTTCCAAAGTACTAATTTTAACCTGATTAAAACATACTGAATAAACAATTTACACCTAATATTAGCTAATTACAGGAAGGCAACATTTCTGGCACTTTTGCATATGACCACATTGACTGTTTACTGTGGAAACTTCAGTCCCTGCAAAAACACAGTAAGCTTTCCCAGTTCCAAACCACATCACCTAAGGACAAGGTGATTCCCCTGGGCCCTTTTGTTAGCTAAGACAGAATTATCTCCTGAATCAGAAACTCCATACTGCATTCCTCCCCTCTTACCTCGATGAATCATTACATCAGCTTTATTACTATTAATGTTAATCAATTATCAACACCGTAAAAAGTCAGAGACTTTGGGAAAGTTGATAGCCTAAACAGCAGACACTGCACTTGAAATGTATAAATACTAGGCATATACTATAAAACATATTTTTGTGTTTATAAAATTTTTTATTAAGCAGAAAAAAATTTTACGTATTTCACAAATAAAATTCTAAGACAAATACACTTTCCTCTTTTCCCTCCCTTTCCTCCTTCCTTCCTTCCTTCCCTCCTTCCTTCCTTTCTTCCTTCCTTCCTTCCTTCCACTTCCCCTTCAGTTTCTGCAGTAACATAAATTTAATTTATAATCTCAGGCTTAATGTACCATTAGCCATAGTGTTGAACAAGTGACTTGGAGAGAAAAGCCAGTTTAAAGGTTTAAATACATATACTTACTAATTTAAATATATTTTATATATTTGGTAGTAATGCAATTTTGTTCAAAAGCACTGATACCTATACCTGAGAGTTAAAGGCAATTTATCTGTGTGTGGCTTACCTGGGATGGTGCAAAACCAGACATGTGAAATGCTGAAAACACAAGTGGTACTTCAGCCTTCAGCAGCATTTCAATATAGTGAGTGCTGCAAAAATATACTGGGTGGATACCAGATTCTACAGTTTCAGTAGGTAGATACCTCTGCATAAGAAAGAAATCAAGAATTAAACGATTAATACACAGATAACTTAGTATGATCGAGCATCCATTCAACTAAATCTCTTTTACTCCCAGAATTGTGCTTCCAAATTAATTTGGTGGTATGATAAATTTCTGCAAGTATTATAATTAAATTATGGTAATTAAATGTAAATTAAAATCACAATGTTAAACACTGTATAAAGAAGAAAACTCATTAACACAGTATTACATACCTTTCCTAGATACAGTAATAAATACTTTGAAATGTGCATAATTTCAATCCTCATGGAATGTCGATAAAGAGAGTTACATGAAAAATAAATGTATGAGTGAGCTTATGAGAAATGGGTGCTTTATTGTTTAATACGAAATCATTTAAATATGCTTAATATTATTGGTTTTGGCCAAAAATTCACAATGCTAAAAAGCTGAAGCTTTGTTAATTATTGATATTTGTCTAATCTCTTTTTCTATCTTGATACAAACCAAGGTTTGAACCTGAATTTATAACAATCTAAAATGTGAACTCTGTATCTAATTCATCTTAAAACTATAAAAAGATGCATTATGCATTTCCATAAAAATTCTCATGCTGCTTTGTTTTTTTATTTCTTGTACTGGCATAAGTACACCTGCATGTAACTAATGCATAAATATACACATGCGTAGATTTATAAAGCTATGTTTTCAGCCATTATTCATAAATGTGATTATTTTCTTAATTTAGTTCTTAGGTACAATATATCATTGTGAATGATCAATGTTTTATTGTATATTATTTTAAACCCAACATTTAGGACAGAATTTGTTTTAAACAAAGAGTGATAAATGTAAAGATATATGTTTGTGTTCTATATTGCAAACAGTTAAACATAAATATAAATTAAGTATAAGACCTTAAAAAATATAAATTAAATGTAAGACTTTATGGGAAAGACCTGCAACTTTCTGCTACTACACAAACGGATCTAACACAGTTCAGTAAACCGTCTCTGAAAATGTACAGGCAAAATAGGTCATGCTTTATCACCAATACCGTAACTTGTACATCATGTAGAGAGGCGAATAGAAAACACTGAGAATTACTAAAAATTCTGATTCTGTAATTGTAGAAAACATAAATCACTCAGGAAAAATACACTTCAAATATGAATAATATTTAAGATCACATATAAGAAATGAAAGAAGCTTGACAATGGGTGGTAGCTCTTGTGACTTTCACAGATGCTCTGAAAATTGGTTACATGAGTGCCATGACATGCTTATGGTTATAAAATTAAAATCTAAATTTATATTTTAATTCTATTAGAATTAGAAAATATTTTCTGAGGAATAAGAGTTCTATGTGGCTACCCTATGGAATAATTGCCTCTAGACCATCATCACAGGAGATTTATATATGCATAAAACAATTTATTTTTTAATGCAAATTTATCAGTTTTTCTTTTTCTCAATTCCTGAGAGGAGTTAATTTATCAGTTTTAAATTAAGGTAAACATGTGGTATCTAATCTTTTGGGATTGGATCATTTCCCTTAGCATTATGGTTTCCATGTGGCCCATTTGGCCACAAAGAACTGCATTTTATTTTTTTTAATCGCTGAGTAGTTTGGCTTAATTTAAGATGAAATGATGTCAGTATGAAATATATCACCTGTAAAATGTAAAATGTAAAATTTTTTTAACATATTGGTTACCCAATACTATGTCCACTAATTCCATGACGTTGTGGATTGTTGCGGATGTTATGTTGGGGCTTTTGATTGGTTGGGATGACACTTTGCCGGCTCTACCTTCAGACCAGAGCTGGTCTCCACAAGAAGCCATTGAACTTTTCTGGACAATAAGATGCTGGACTCTATGCTTGGTATATGCTTGCAGTGAAAGAGCCTCCACTGAACTTGAACTGTGGCAATGCAGCAAGGAGGAAGAGTCCACCATGGGGGCAGGGTTTGGGGAAGGGTAGGAGGAATCCCAGTGTGTAAAAACTGTGTCACATAATGCAATGTAATAAAAATAAATAAATAAATAAAATTAAATTTAAAAAAAGTATAATTTTTAAAGTTTAAACATTGTATCATTGTACATATTTATAAACTACAACATATACTGTTGTACATGTGGGTGATATTTAAGTACAATTATATATATGTAAATTTATAATTAGGAAACACATACATATAGAAATGCACACACACACACACACACACACACACACACACACACACACACACACACATATATATAACATTCAACATTCCTATATAATTAAAACATCCAAAAACCTATCAGGGTTTTTTAAAGAGAGATGTGCAGAACATGACCTCTATTCACCATGCAAACAAGAGAAACCCTCTGTCAAAGAGGCATGTGTACTCTCATGTTTCCTGAAGCACTCTTCACAAAAGCCAAGAACCTGAAGCAACCCAAGTGTGTGCACTCTGATGAATGGATAAAGAAAATGTGACAATATACAGAACAATTACCACTGAGGGGAAGAAATATTGAAATCCTATCACGTACAATGACACAGATGGAAGTAGAAATCATTATTTAAAGTCAAATGAGCCAAGCACAGAAAGAGGAACATAAGCTCATGTGTAACTGGTGTCAAAATAATATGGTAACGTCATAGATATTAACAATATAATGGTGATTATCACAGGCTGGGGTGGGAAGGCATCTTGGAAGGTTGGGGTAAGAACTACAAAAGGGTGCTTGGTCTAGCTTTCTCACATGTTTTTACTAAGACAGAGGCCTGCATGGTTGTTATTTTCATTTTGATGACTGAGAGTAAGCATTCTAACACAGAAAAAAAGTCTTGATTTCCTTAATCTATCATTTTACTAATACTTCAATGTTAATCATTGAGAGAACTCTACTTCTTCAAAAAATTCCATACAGAATGACTGCTTCCTCATTTAAATTTTTCCAATAAATTAATAATTAAATATAATTTAATTTAATTAATATAGGTTTATGGTATAAATTATTTTAAAGGACAATTTTTTTCAAAATTATTTTCTTGTATAAGTAGTCAATTTATAGACGTATCAGAAACCTTCAAGTTAAATTTAATTATTTGCTGTAATTGACAACATTTTCAAAAATTTCTTAACTGATGATAACTGGCTAAGCAAAACATGATGTGTTCAAAACATATTTAAAAACACTTCACATAGGGAGAATCAAGATGGTGCAATAGGGTAAGGACATGTTTAAACAGACTGAGAAAAATTAGCCAGTGTGAAGTAAAGAGGCACATGGGAGGAAACAGGAGAGGACAGAAAAACAGCGGAGGGGCACCTGGAGACTGACAGTCACAGGAAAGCAGCGAAAACAATGGTGTGGTGTTGCAGTGACTGATACCCCAGCGGCATTCAGCGAGTGGTGAACCGAATCACACTGGTAGCCAGAACTACATCAGCAACCAGGAAAATAATATTAATTATGGCATCGTACGTGTCAAAATAAGTCCATGTGGCCCTTAGATCTAACAACCAATGGGTTCCTGCAAAATGAGCACCGCCAGCAACTTAGATATGTAGGACACCTGGTGTCTTCCTAATCCTGGGACTTGCTCCAACTGGAAGTGCGAGAAAGGTTGTACGGATAATGGTGCAACCTCAGCACAGTATCACAGGAGTGGCACTGGTGAGCCAGGAGCTGGAGCTGTGGAGACCATGTTGGAAATCTGACATAAGAACCCAGACATGGAACTTGCTGGAGGGAGTGGCACAAATGATTGCAAACAAAGAGCCGTGTACCAACTGCAATAAGTAAAATCGAACTGCAGACCTGTGGGTGACAGAGCTTAGAAACCAGCTCCTTTGGGAGGACACTGCTAACCAAAAGTACAATGACTAAGAGCAAAAGAAGAGACAAAGGCATAATGAATATTACTGAAGACTCCCCTGCAAAGGAGCAAAAGGCTTTGCCAACCTTAGAGTTCACTGAGAAAGACATCAAGAAAATAGGGGATCAGAATTCAAAACACTTGTTATAAAACTTTTGTCAACAATGAGAAGTACATAAAGCAGGCATTCAAGGAATTTAAGGAATATGTCACACTGGAAATGGATCAAATGAAAGCTGATATATCAGAAATGAATACAGTGGAGCAAATTAACAGTACAGTGGAGAGTCTCCAAAATAGAATGAAGGAGGCAGAAGAAAGAATCTCAAAATTAGAAGATATTTCCTGTCACCAGGGAGAAACAAAGTTAGAAGCATGGCTGGATGAGGCCCATAAAAATATTCAAGAACTGAAAGGCACTATGAAAATGCCAAATATAAGAGTGATAGGAGTCCCAGATGGTGCAGAAAGAGAAACAGGGTTTAAAAATATATTTAATGAAATAATCAGGGAAAATTTCCCTAATCTGGAGAAAGAATTGAAAACAGCATCCAGGAGTGGCACAGAACTCCCAGCAGGATTAACCAAAAGTGATCTTCACCACAACATATAATCATCAAGCTCTCTTCATAAGGAAAAGGAACATAAGGAAAAGATCGTTAAATATGCATGTGAAAAACATCAACTGACATATAAAGTAATGACAATTAAATTCACAGGAGATGTCTCACAGAAAACTCTATAGGCCAGAAGAGAATGGAGCAACATATTGCAGATTCTAAAAGCAAAAAAAAATTGTCAGCCCAGGATAACATACCCAGCAAAACTTTCCTTTGTGTTTGAACATGAAATAAAATTCTTTCACAGTAAAGAAAAGTTAAAAAAAGATGCCTCTTCCAAACCTGCCCTACAAACGATACTTCAAGATGTTCTCTTGACAGAGAAGAGGAATAGCACCTACCAAAACTAAAGGCAAATGCAAAGAACATCCCAGTAAAATAACAACAGAAGACTAAATCAATGAACAACTCATTGTTAAAATGACAAGACCAAATTACCACCCATTCATATTAATCCTGAATGTAAATGGCTTAAACTTATCAATCAAATGTCATAGATTAGTAGACTGGATTAAAAAACAAAATCCATCTATTTGTTGTGTACAGGAGACACATATCACCAATAAAGATCAATGGAAACTGTATCATGAATTTTTATTTGTTTTGGTTGGTTTCATCTCTTCAAAACACTTTCTTCTGATTAAATTCTTCAATAATTTGTAGATCACATAATAGCATCATTTTCTTCAAGAAAGTTTTTATTTTCATTTTCATTTCTTCAACAACACATCAGTCATTCAGTAGCATGTTGCTTAACTTCATGTTGTTAATTTCTCTTTTTTTTCTTTCTGTTGCTGATTTTGTATGGTGGCTTTTCATTTAAGGGGATGTATAGTAACTGTGTAATGGAGACTATCATAGCCAGATGTGAGGATACAATGCAATATGCATCTCTACTTCCAAAGATGGACTTCCAATGAAACTGTTTACTCTATCTTGACAATAGAATGCTAGACTCTGCCATTTTCCATGCCCGTAGTGATAGGCATATGACTGTGTATGAAGAACTATACTATCGTAATGATAGGGGAATGACTGATGTATTTTTCAGAGAAGAATTTTACACAGTCGAGCACAATTTAAATGGATAAAGTTATTCAAATTCTGGTTACAGGAAGAAAATATGTTCCAGTGATTGGTTGAAAAACTAGCACAAACTCGTCTTCCATTTGTTGCTTCCTGTTTGTATGAACAGAATTCACCAGGAAATCTTACTCAGGAATTGCATATAATTACTTCAAAGATGAAATCTTAAAATATCAATATTGAATACATCTTGTGATGTCCTGGGTTCACCTTTTTTAGCATAAGCATGAGTACATATGTACAGCAAAACACAAGTATACAGTAAGTAGCACTTAACAGGCATTTCTGTCTAACTCCTCATAAACACTAGCTGATCCTCAAGGTGTCACACGATTTCAGCGCAACATAGTATACAGCATAGGCAATTTCCATTAGCTGCAGTTCTTACTAACACATAAAAACAACAAATAAACAGAAACACTGTTGTTAATTAATATACTTTTAAGACAACCTCTCAGATCTCATAGGAGTAGCAAAAATGTTTAAAATAAAATATCAACCAAGATGTCTATCAATCCATAACTGAGTTAAGGAAATATGCTGTGTATGGAATAGTTCTCTGCCATAAAAAAGAATGAATCCTGTCTGCATAAAATGGATACAATTGAAGCCATGATGCTTAAGGAAATAAGCCAGCCCCCCGAAGGCAGAGATCACAGATCATAATAAAAACTAAGTACATATTTACAAAATGCACATAAAGTTCTTTCCACTACAAAATAGCTATAATTTCTACTGAATAAGTTATTTTCTTATAATTCAGTCAGCAAAAATTCTTTATAATAGAGTAACAACAAAAAATTGAAAAGTTCCCCTTCTACATTTCATTAACTTACCAAATGACAAGTTTGTACTATAACATTTTAAAAACTTTTATCTCATTATATTATTTCATGAAAATGTTTTCATAATTACTAATCTTTCATTCAGTTATTATTAGGTAAGACATCAAGTATTTGAGAAAATGTCAAATCTATACTTTCAAATATAACTAGTTGAAGAAGCATTCGGGTAAAAAAGTAAATATGAATTATTACAGAGCTCTCTGCAAATAATAGGTCCAATGAACCTAAATATGCTCCTTAAAATTCTAAACCCTCAATTAAAACAAACTAAAAGCCTTACAGAAACATGGAGTCTTGGCAACCAAAGGAAAGCCGATGTCAGAACTCTGGAAAACTGCTGAAGAAACTGAACTGTTTTCTCTTTGTCACCCAGCATTATCATGAAGAGAGAAGACACAAACCAATCATGGCCAGCGTAACTCCCTTGCAGGCAGACTGAACCTTGTAGTTAAGGAGGCTTTGTAATATTTCATCTTACTAGAACAAATACAAGAGCTTCACAGTTCTATATTTCTAAAATTTCCATCATTACCAGATCTTCAACCATTGACAAATATTATAATCAAATTGAACCTTACTAATAAAAAGAATATTCTTTATAACCTGTATTTTAATAGACTATTTGCTAACAGAGGGAATTTATGTCAATACTAATAAGAGAAAGCACTCCCTGCTTTGTGAAAATTCAATTGTTCAAATAATAAACAACTAACAACTAACTTTAGCTGAGTTTATCTGCTAAGTCACTACCATAACTAAGCATACATTCCAAACATTTTTAGAATTTGGTAATCCAAATGGTTTTTACACATTTTATTTCTTTAGGGCAAACCCCATTCTAAAATGATAAACAAGCAAATTAAGCAATAAATATATATGCTATATGAAAACAAGCAGCAGTTTGATTCTTCTTCTAGATCGAAGACATCAATATCTAAAATGCTCTTAAACATGTCTGAAAACACATTCTAATGACTTTACGTATTCACCTGAGTCTGAAATGAATGATTATGACTCAATTTAGCAAGCCACATATTTAAATAAAGCACTATAAAGATATAACAAGTCACTAATAGAGTTAACTATTACTATACTAGAAATGTGATAAGATATCCCAATACAAAACATTTATGAAGCTCAACTATTATAAATCCACTCAAAAAAGGATATGAAGAGGGGAGTTTGCAGGAACTTGCTGCTGTTTCAGGAATTTCTCACTGTGTTTTAACACCCAAGCGAGATCATTTTCTGCACCATCTTTTAACAGGTTGAGGAACTTGCCATACCTACATTAATAAACCATAAAACATAGTTAAACAGGTCCTGCACTGATCATTGGAATTTTTTTTGAAAGATTTATTTGAAAAACTAATGGGGAGAGAGAGACAAAAGGAAATGGGTGGGAAGGGGAAGTAGAGAGAGAAGAAAGGAGAAAGGGAGAGGGAAGTAGAGAGCCTTCGATTTGCTGGTTTTACATTTAAACAGCCACAAAAGTCAGCTCTTGGCCAGGTCGAAGTGACAAGCTGGGCACTCTATCCTGTTCTCCATGGAGGATGTGGCAGAGGCTCAAGACTCAGTCATCTTTCACTGTCTTCCAAAGTGTACTAACAGAGAGCTGGGTCAGAAGCACAGCAGGCACAGGAGTGAAGCAGACATCTGGAAGTGGGAGGTGTTTGCAACACAGTGCCTGTCGCCCGAACGCTCATTTTTTTTTTTAATAAAAGGGAATTACTCTTAAGAACTCAAAGTTTTAGGTTTTAAAATATATAGCTTTAGTTTGACCATGTTAAGTATCATACTGTCAAAATGTTACAGTTAATTAAAATACCTGGCTTATCCAGGGAAGTACTTGGTAAATTGTTCATCGTGAGAGAGGGGTCACTACTGTGACTTAGTGAACAAAGGCCAAGAGTTCAGATAAGGCAGAGTACTACATAATAATAACATCTTGAAAATACCCCATTGTTTGTAAGGCTGAAAAAATTATTTATAATGATCTGAACCAAACTGCTTTGCAAAATTCCCTTATATTTTCATGTACACTGAATGCAACTATGCATAAAACTTACTAAAATTGGTTCATCATATTTGAAAATCTTTGCTTCTGGTTACATTTCTTGTGGTATTTTATGAAGAACCAAACAAAAACAGTCTGTATTTGCAACAGTCAAAATCACTCTACACACAAATATTTCATCATAATCCTGTTTATTTATTTTAAATATATATTAGGGGCTGGTATTGTGGTGCTGGATGTTTAACTGACACTGAAAACACAAGCATTCATATCACAGTGCCAGTTCAAGTCGCAGCTGCTCTGTTTCCAATCCAGTTCCTAGCTAGTGCATCTTAAAAAGCTCAGTCTTTTAATACTTCCCATAGGCATCTTTTTTATACTTGATTATGAAAATGGCTGCATAAGCAAAATAGGACTCTGAAGACTTCATTAAACAAGAGGGATGTTCCAAGAAGTCAATCCTTAACTGCCAAGAGTTTGTCATTTAGCTTGTCCAGTTATTCTGAAAATTATGAGTTCTAACAACTCTAAATATAAAAATTTTTGCTTCTTCGTTTTAACATCTGCATATAACCTTAAGGTACTTTTGTACTCAACAGTATACTTGACAATTAGATCTAATCATATTTTAGAAAATGGTATGATTGTGCTACTGATGTTATGATTTCTAAAATGCTATTTTTGGGAAAAATGATAGTCATAGAGGCTTAAACAGATTGTAATTAGTCTCTGGAATAACAATGAACTGTAACTGATTTAACTGCAGAGAAATTTAATCATGTGCCAATATCCTAAAAAGTTATTACTTTCTGGATGATAAACTCTGAGTCTGAAGTATACAAAATAGTGCTTGTTAAATTACATATTGTTAAGAATATATAAGGCTGGGCCCGGCACGGTGGCACAGTGGTTAAGGTCCTCACCTTGCACACCCGGGATCCCATATGGGCGCCGGTTCTAATCCCAGCAGCCCCACTTCCCTTCCAGCTCCCTGCCTGTGGCCCGGGAAAGCAGTCGAGGACCGCCCAAAGCTTTGGGACCCTGCACCTGTGTGGGAGACCTGGAAGAGGCTCCTGGCTTTGGATTGGCATAGCATCGGCCCGTTGTTGCACTCACTTGGGGAGTGAATCATCGGACGGAAGATCTTCCTCTCTGTCTCTCCTCTCTGTATATCTGCCTTTCCAATAAAAAAATAATAAAAATAAAATCTTTTAAAAAAAGAATATATAAGGCAGATAAAACAAATTCTAGAAATCCACAAGAGAGCTCTTGCATCATAACATACCTGACAGTCATTTTAATGCCCAGCTGCTGTACAGATGAAAGATTCTCGCTCTTCACAATTACATCAGCAACTAAAAAATAGGAAAGCATCATAAAATTAGGAAAAGTCTGATAATAATGAAATTCTAATTGAAAAGTGGTGAAAGCATTATTTTTACATTTTAATCCATATTTTGAAAACACTGATTAATTTACTCTTTTAAGAGCTATCGATCATATTTTCAAAGAAGCCACTGGGAAACTTTTTTGCAAATAACTTTTCTCTTAGGATAAGCATTTAAGAACATTAAATATAAATCTATTTTGCTTAGTTGTAAGTAAATAAGCATCAAAAAAAGACAAAAAAACTTACATAAAAATTTATCTAGAAATACTGCATTGTACTCATGCAATGCATAGTGATTTTTATCACAAACATATCTATGGGCATGGTGGTTCCTTTTTCCTGGCAGTCATATTTAAATCTTTGAAAAGCTGGTGTCACACCTTTATTTTATGAAAACACACAAGGGTAAGTGCACGAGCATCCTCTTGCAGGATAGATTATCGTGGTGAAGCAGGAGTCGGTGGTCATTTACCACAGGTGAAAACAGGGATCTAGAGTATCAAGGACCTTAGGAAAAGCTGTAAAAAGCTTACAGTTCCTGTAAACATGGGGAGCCAAGCTAACATTCAAAAGCATCATCAGACAGCCTAGGGTCCACCTAAAATTTCCAATTTTTGGCTGAAGAAGCATGCGCGTGCACACACACACACAGAGAGAGAGAGAGAGAGAGAGAATGATACTAAGGGGCATAAACCACAGTCACCAGTGGTACAGGTGATGAGAAGCAATGTTTTCTGACTCTTGCTTCATGAACCAATTCTTTGCATCAGTTCATACTGATATAGCCTACACTATCAGTATAATCTATTTCACTTGTGGATTTATTCATTCTTTAAAATGGATCTTTTTTGAGATAATCAGTATGGAACACTCTGCAAGAAGCTGTGGGGGATGAAAGGTAAATCATATATCATACTAAAAGAACTTTCCATGTAACGTCAGATAAGCCACATATACAGATAACTCTGATAGAAGCAATTCAGAAGCTCTAAGTGGGATGAGGATGGCACAGATACAGTGCTATGCACATTCAGAAGAGGAAGAGATTATTCCCAGCCAGGTAGGAAGAAGTACCATTTCAGTTGAACTTCAAATCTTAAGAGTTAGGGAAGAATTAAACATCGCTGTTATCAAACATCTACTCTTTAGACTGCCAACAATTAATCTTTCAGTATTCCTAGTGTTCTGGTAAATAACTCATCCTGATTTGCCCAGAGTTCCATGATTTTGGCATAGAAAATCCCATTTCCCAGAAAGGCTCCACAGCTCAGGGACATCATCGAGGACAGACACATTACACAAAGTGTAATTTGGTTAAAGAAAAATAAAGCAAGATTAGGTGTTTGGTGTAGGAGTTCAGTCCTGCTTAGGAAACACACATTCCATGTCTTGGTGCCTGCTTTAAATCCAAACTACTCTGCTTCTGTGCCAGCACTCTGTTGATTTGCAATTTTGGAGGCAACACGCGATGGCTGAGCACAGTGGTCCCAGACTTTCATGTAGGAGATCCAGATTTAGCATGTGGCTACTGGCTTCATCCTAACCCAGCGCCAATTATTGCAGGCATTTGAGGAGTCTCTCTCTCTCTCTCTTTCGATATGTATCTTTTTAAGTGCCTTTCAAATAAAGTCAAAAACAAAAATTTAAGAATCATTTTTAAAAGTTAAAAACTTAAAAAAACACTCGGTTAGCTCCTTAATAAACTATATCTAAATCATATTTATTTATGTTCAAATGCAATATTGTTATATTTTGCCTTAAAGGGCAACAGTTAAGCTACAGTTTACCTCGTTATTTATCTTTCTTATTTTGTGAATAAATATATCTTATACCCTCACAGGACAGTTCTGCACTTCTGCTAAAAAGATCCTCACCCTGAAGCTATTAGTTAATGACTAAGAGGAGCTCTTCAACACCTCCATATTTTTCATCCAGAGTGGGATGGACTTTTTTCAGTCTTACTAATCAGGAGGCTATATGCTGACTTAAGTTCTCAGAAAGGAACAAATCCATCATGTAGAAAAAACAGAGAGAGAGAGAGAGATTGCTAAGGAGACTTTTAGCCCATTTATGAGCTGTTTATTTTTGCCTCTTACTGGACAGACAAAAGCTAATTTCATTTGATTCTATCACTTGAAATCAGAAATACAAATATCATAACCATCCTCATTGTCACAGAATTATGGTCAATTTGTAAAGCTGTCAGTCATCTATATAACAACCAGAAGCTGAAGTTTTTAATTTTATCAATAATTTTTAAATGTAGCCATAGGCTAAACATATATTTAAAGATATCCACTATAGTATCAGTCAGGTATGCTTTTATTCACTAACAAGTTCTTAAAATATGTGAATATGACCCTGATGTGTCTATATTTCATGTTGAGTAACATTTCAATCTTTCAAGTTCAAATAATATGAAATTTTAGCATTATATGATTGGTGACATTGTGGAATTAGCAAAATTGGAAGTCTTAATAGAACAGAATTAAAATTCTGACACTATATCTCTATCTCTGGAACAGACTTCCTTTCAACTAAATTATGATATAGGACCACAATGTGGTTTTCATAAATCATTGATAGAATATTCTTAGAATACAAAAATAATACTTAGAATTCTAGTACATGAAGGATTGGATGATCAAGTATGAGAAATATAGTATTATCTTCATTAATAACTAGATCTGTGTGCTGGTTTTAATACTAGTGGTTCTTTTGTGGAAAGTATACTACAGGGAGCTATCTTAACAGCAAAGAAGCACTCATACTAAATGGAGGAGGGTATGAAGAACGTGCATTCCCAACATCATGTGTTTTATGGGTCAGAGTAGCTTCTGTTAGGATGCAACAGTGAGAAGCAGACTAGGTTGAAGCAGCAAAGTGAGGAGAGTTGCTCAAAGGCTCTATGTCACCGAATGTTACACAAGGAGCAGAGACGCTTTCTGCTCTTTTCTCAGAAGAAACCAACTCCTGCTGTTCAGCCCCAGATGAGCTCTTTAACTTTTAGAAAATGGTTAGACCCTGAAGGGTATTTATAAAACTCCAAAGAAATTTATGACTATATTCTCAGAGTAAGAATTTACTTCCATACATTTTAACAAACAATAACAAACCAATATGCAAGTGCATCAAAAATCTCTGAAGGACTTTGTTAAAGAAGGACTCTATCCTAACTCAGTTAATCAGATTGGCTGATTAAGCGTGAATGCCTAGTAACTTATGTCTTTGAATTATTATTCAATGTACTTGCTTTTTAAAATCTTTAAATACTTGTTTATTTTTATTAGAAAGACAGATTCACAGAGAGAAGGAGAGACAGAGAGAAAGATCTTTTGTCCACTGGTTCACTTGTCAAATGGCCGCAACAGCTAGAGCTGAGCCAATCTGAAGCCAGAAGCCAGGAGCTTCTTCCAGGTCTTCCATGTGGGTAGAGTCCCAAGACCCTGGGCCATTCTCTACTGCTTTCCCTGGCCACAGTAGCAAGCTGAATGGGCAGTGAAGCAGATGAGACAAGAACAGTACCCATTTGGGATCCTAGTGGATGCAAGGCCCCTTGCCAGTGTACGTATATAATAAACTTGAGATTCACACTAAAGAAATAAAAGTAAAATCCAAATTCAGGTATAACTGGACAGTGATACTCCATTACATAAATTTCACTCTAATGAAGGGTCTAGCTAAACTCTCAATTTTTTCACATAAAAAATATGGAGCTACCAAGAATTCAAATACAAATATCAAACATTCATTTTTTAAAATGGGGAATAGATGGCAATAATTTTAGTATGAGTAAAATCTGGTAAAAAATAAAACTGGACAAAATAAAGTTTGCTAAACAGAAATGAAGATCAGAAAAACATGTCACTGTGATGTCACACAGGTAGTAGAAAAACTTGTATGTGATGTACACTATAACAACTTGGAAATTGATATTGAAGCATAAAAGTTTAATGAAACTTTTCATATGCAACATGGACTGTATGGAATTTATGAAGCAGGAATTAAAATCTTAGGAAATAAAACAATAGGGCAAATGAATAACAAAAAAAAAGCAAAAAGATACAGATGTTCTGGGCCTGGCACAGTAGCCTAACAGCTAAAATCCTTGCCTTGAACATGTCCAGGATCCCATATGGGCACTGGTTCTAATCCTGGCAGCTCCACTTCCCATCCAGCTCCCTGCTTGTGGCCTGGGAAAACAATCAGGGATGGCCCAAAGCCTTGGGACCCTGCACCCATGTGGGAGAGCTGGAGGAAGTTCCTGGCTCCTGGCTCCGGATCAGCACAGCACCAGCCATTGTGCTCACTTGGGGAGTGAATCATCTGATGGAAGATCTTCCTCTCTATCTCTCTTCCTCTCTCAATATCTGACTTTATAATTAAAATAAATAAATCTTTTTTAAAGAGATACAGATGTTCTCAGGGGATTCTGATCAATCTATCTATTATCTATCTTGTAACCTACTCACAGATGTGAGATACATACGGGGGTTTAATAAACACTGAGCAAATGTGAAAAATGAAAAGTAACAAAGTTTTACATATCAATAAGTAGAGAAATAGATACACACACTGAAAGCAAAAAACTAAGTAGAAAATACATAACCCCACTCCCTGAAGTCAATGTAGAAAACCTAATGTCACAAACTGTTTTAAAAGGAGCAAAAATGACACGCCTCACATCATATAGGTCCCACTATACAATACTTAACTCCATCCAAAATAGAATATGAAATTATTCTAAAGAGCCCATCATATTCAATATAAACAATAATCTCAGAATAAATAAGTTGGCAACATTTACTGAATATGAACTGAAATCACTCACTCTGGTAGATCTATTCTGCCAGCTTTTGGCTCATCATGTGGGAAAAAAACCAAATTTCCAGAAGAAATAAAGCATTTCTCCGCTGTAGGACCAATCTATGGCTGGAGAAGCACTTACTACTTGGCTTCTTATTA